GGCCGAGTCGGGGTCCAGGGTCAGGTCCTCTGTGGGTGACAGGAAGGGCAGTTGGTGGCGTCTCCGTGGGAAGGGGCACGATCACCCCGGGCTGACCCAAATGACTCCATCGCCACCCCCAAAGACCCCATCAAGACCCCAACGACCCCATCTCCACCCCAACCATCCCATCAAGACCCCAGTGACCCCATCTCCACCCCAACGACCCTATGTCAACCCCATCTCGACCCCAACAACCCCATCAAAACCTTATCTTGACCCCAATGACCCCATCTCCACCCCAACCACCCCATCTTGACCTCAATACCCCAATGACCCCATCAAGACCCCAATGACCCCATCAAGACCCCAATGACCCCATCAAGACCCCAATGACCCCATCAAGACCCCAATGACCCCATCAAGACCCCAATGACCCCATCAAGACCCCAATGACCCCATCTCCACCCCAACCACCCCATCTCCACCCCATCTTGACCTCAACGACCACATCAAGACCCCACCTCCACCCCAACGACCCCATCAAGACTCTATCTTGACCTCAACCACCCCATCTCCACCCCAACCACCCCATCTCAACCCCATCTTGACCCCAACAACCCCATCTTGACCTCAGTGACCTCATCTCCACCCCAAAGACCCCATCAAGACCCCAACGACCCCATCTCCACCTCAACGACCCCATCTCAACCCCATCTTGACCCCAACGACCCCATCTTGACCCCATCTCCACCCCAAGGACCCCATCAAGACCCCATCAAGACCCCAACGACCCCCTCTTGACCTCAATGACCCCATCAAGACCCCATCTTGACCTCAACGACCCCATCTGCACCTCAATTACCTTGTTTCGACCCCATCGTGATCCCAATGACCCCATCAAGACCCCAATGACCCCATCTCAACTCCATCTTGACCCCAACGACCCCCTCTCAACCCCAACGACCTCATCTCAACCCTATCTTGACCCCAATGACCCCATCTTGACCTCAATGACCTCATCTCCATCCCAATGACCCCATCAAGACCCCAATGACCCCATCTTGACTTCAATGACCCCATCAGGACCCCATCTTGACCTCAACGACCCTGTCTGCACCTCAACAACCTCGTCTCGACCCCATCATGACCCCAATGACCCCATCAAGACCCCAATGACCCCATCTCCACCCCAACCACCCCATCTCCACCCCATCTTGACCTCAACGACCACATCAAGACCCCACCTCCACCCCAACGACCCCATCAAGACTCTATCTTGACCTCAACCACCCCATCTCCACCCCAACCACCCCATCTCAACCCCATCTTGACCCCAACAACCCCATCTTGACCTCAGTGACCTCATCTCCACCCCAAAGACCCCATCAAGACCCCAACGACCCCATCTCCACCTCAACGACCCCATCTCAACCCCATCTTGACCCCAACGACCCCATCTCAACCCCATCTTGACCCCAACGACCCCATCTTGACCTCAATAACCCCGTCTCCACCTCAACAACCCCATCAAGACCCCAACGACCCCATCATGACCCCATCTCCACCCCAAAGACCCCATCAAGACCCCATCAAGACCCAACGACCCCATCTTGACCTCAATGACCCCATTAAGACCCCATCTTGACCTCAACGATCCCGTCTGCACCTCAACGACCTCGTCTCGACCCCATCGTGACCCCAATGACCCCATCAAGACCCCAATGACCCCATCAAGACCCCATCTTGACCTCGATGACCCCACCAAGACCCCATCTTGACGCCAACGACCCCATCAAGACCTCAATGACCTCATCTCCACCCCATCAAGACCTCAACAACCCCATCTTGACCCCATCTTGACCCCAACGACCCCATCTTGACCTCAATAACCCCGTCTCCACCTCAACAACCCCATCAAGACCCCAACGACCCCATCATGACCCCATCTCCACCCCAAAGACCCCATCAAGACCCCATCAAGACCCCAACGACCCCATCTTGACCTCAATGACCCCATTAAGACCCCATCTTGACCTCAACGACCCCATCTCAACCCCATCTTGACCCCAACGACCCCATCTTGACCCCATCTCCACCCCAAGGACCCCATCAAGACCCCATCAAGACCC